ACGTTATATTGGACAACTCAATGTTCCCAAATTATTTTAAAGCAATTTTCTAAAACGTGTGTGTGTGTGTGTGTGTGTGTGTGTGTGTGTATGTATGTATGTGCATGTATGTATGTGTGTGTGCATGCGTGCATTTATATCATATATAAAAATACTGTGTTAAACTATACAGTGACCATAGTTCATTTCTTTTGAATTTTTAATGTTGGTTAAATAATGATGACTTCATGAGCTGAACTTAATTACAATAAAGACTTATTTCAACCAATAAGCTTAGTTCAACCAATGGCTAAACTACAGTTTTCCTGCTTTAATGAACAGATAGACATCGTTATTAAAAATATTGTTAGATATATCAGACTTCTCTAACCTGGTATCTTTTAGTTGTATTGGGACTGTAGCTTCCTGTATGTGGGCTGGAATTTCTGAATTGCACTTCCATCTGGATTGCAAAAACACATGGAGAACACCAGGTCAGAGTAAAAAGAAAAAACAAAATAATAATAATTCATTATTTATAAGCTTTTTATAGATTTAGATATGATATAGCAGCAGTCCCCAAGTTTTCCAGCTTTGCGGACTGGAGCAGGCGGTGGCGAGGGAGAGAAGGGATGGTTCTGTTTAAGCAGAGAGCAACCACACTCACGTGCACAGCTCCATTTACGCCCACTACTCCCGCCTCTTGCATGGCCCGGGGTTGGGGACCCCTGTGATACAGAATCTATAAAGTTCTGTAAATCACTTCAGCATGTTCTACATTGGTGAATATATCTGTCAATTAATAGTGAAATACTTCTTCAGTATCTTAAGCATTACGCACAACAGAGAATGCTATCATCCCTGTAAATTTAAATCCCAATGATCAGAATCCACAATAAAAATTTTACAACTCATAGAAGTCATAAAAATCACATAATGGTTTAGTAGTACAATTTTCCATATCTGAAAAACTTCCTCAATTATTTATGGTTTTCATTGCAATTGTTATTATAATGACAAAAGTTTAATTAATGTTACCATGATTTTTGGAAAGAACTATCTACAATTGTTGGCAGGTAAAAATCAGTGCACGCGGAAGTTATATATATTTCTATCAACTGCCTTTTTTTGTACAAATAAAAAATGCACAGAGTAATCATTTCAAAACTGTAGAACTTCATGAATGAATTATATATTTATAAGAATAAGAATATGATCTACAATTACAATATACTTTTTAAAATAAAATAAGGACTATCAATCCTGTCCCTACTATGATCTGATTTCCCTGAGATTCAGAAAAAAGCTTTCCTCACTAGTTCTACCAAGCATTTGTATATAATTAAGTGGTTGAGGAAGATTTATGTCCTTATAAATCAAAAAGTCATATTTATTTTCACTATCTACTAACATTGATGAATATTCTTTTTTGAATTGTGTTAACATTTTCCATTCAAAGTTGCAGTTGTGACTATTTTAAGTTCTAAGTAATTTGAAAATAAAAATGTGCAATTCTGTGGACAGCTCAGTTCAAGAAATTGACCACTGTGTATTTTATTACCTAAATGTATTTTAAAGCTATATTTTGTTCAATGTACTCAAATATAACAGTAACTAACACTTACTATCAATTGAGCTACATAGCAGCACTTTTCCTCCGTATTTTATCCAACAGATTGGTAATTATTCTCTTTCTGATGTGCTTATGTCACCATACTGTCAATATTATTGTATTATTCTTCTGTTGGAATTTTTTGAACTGAGATACTCTTCCAAACTTGAGATTTTTTTGTGGAGCTAGACTCTAACAGTGTTGTCTAAATATAATGTTTCTTTACTATCAATTAATTAAATATGAAATAACATTAATTATTATTGACCTTTGATATCGAGGGGTATGCTGTTTTTCAGGCAGTTATATTTTATTTAATTTATAAAATTTATTAGCTGCCCATCTCATTTCAAAGCAACTATGAGCAGCTTACAGCATTAAAACCATAAAAGATAAGCCCTGATTTCGCAGTGGTTAGAATGCAGTATTGCAGGCTAATTCTGTGCATAGCCAGGAGTTTGATCCTGACCAGCTCAAGGTTGACTCAGCCTTCCATCCTTCCAAGGTCAGTAAAATGAGAACCCAGATTGTTGAGGACAATATGCTGACATTGTTAATTGCTCAGAGAGTGCTATAAAGCACTATGGGGTGGTATATAAGTCTAACTGCTGTTGCTATTGCTATAAATATTTCTAAAACAATAAAAATGGAAATTACAATGAAAAACAGTATTATAATTTAAAAAAATGGGGAGGGGAAGAGGTGGATTACCTCATTAGCACCTCTAGTATGATGCTTCCCCATTGGAGCCCCAAGCCATCTGACAAAGCCAGGTCTTCAGTCCTATATGGAAAGTAAGAAGGCATTCCTAATTGGAGTTAGCTCTACTTGGAAGCTACACCACGAACATTAAGTCTCTCTTCAAAATTAGTTAAATATTTATTTCCATTTCTCTCATAGTAATTATGTCTTCTGTAGAGATCAAAGGTTTTGTTTTCCTATTTCTGTTTCAATATAGTTGCTATTATTTTTGTAGTCTAAGATTCCTCATGCTTTAGTGAATTAGATCTTTTAGAGACAGCATTTATTTCTCTTTTTTGGGCAGGACAGTGTGCTTTCAGAAGTGTCAGTTCAGCAAGGCAAAGGACTAATGAACTAGCATCAGCAAAGATTAAACTGCAGTGAAGATATTTTGAAAACTGCAAACTCTTTTGTAGACATAATATAACAAACGCATTCAAGCAATTATAGGACTTTTGCTCTTGCCCCATGCTGATATAAGTGAAAAGAAGGACATTATTTCCATGCACAAGAGAGCTATTGGTTAATGTACTCTGCAGCACTCTGCAAGCTGATATACCACAGTGATGAAGAGGCTAAGCTAAAAATTATAAGCCTCCTAGTTTGAGTCTTATCTCTATGATGAATTCAATAGGTGACTGTAAGTAATTTATTCTCTCTTGCCACTAGTGCTCTACAAAAGCAACTTATTACTGTCTGTAGGTAAAGAGATATAAAAAGCAAAAAGAATCTATCTCTGTCTGTCTGTCTGTCTGTCTGTCTGTCTGTCTGTCTATCTATCTAATATTAAAGCTTCCTAATATATATTAAAAGTATTACATTCTAAAAACCTTTTAATGAAAAAATTATGCCTCAATCATTAAGTATTGCAAAGAAATAAAATAAAATAATAACACTTTTTAAAAAATATATACAAAGAAATTTATATCTTCACAATCTCAAAAACCAAAGTCAATAATATGCTAATAAAATGTAATAATATAATGTCATAGCACAATAAAATTTTATAGTATCCTTATTTTAGCAGATTATTCCCAACAATAACATAAAGACAATTTCTAACCATAATAAAACATTCTATTAATTCTAATCATCATGCTAATGTTTAGCATGACTAATCCCATCCATAATTCTAACTTCAACCTAACACCCCTTAAAGTATTTTAAATAAATGTTTCTAAGCAATTCAGTCATAAACATAAAATGATGAAATGTTGAGATGGCTCCTGGGTAATTAACACCTCCTTTTTTCTAATCTTTTAATCTGTTTATGTGCCTTTTATAATTTTAAAGTTTTTAATATTAATAATATTTGTATATTTTGTTTTTAATCTTGTGTATGCTGTTGTATGATTGTGAGATGAGCAGCTATGTAAATATAATTTATATACTTAATTTGTCATAAATACAAAACCTGCGAGAGAGAGAGAGGGAAGGAGAGAGAGAGAGAGTTGGGAGATCTATAATGAAGAACTTCTCTTTCTTAATGGAATGACTATAGAGCTGTTCTGTTAGCAGTATATTTAGAATCTAGGTGAATGTTCACGGAATGTGATGGTGTTCAATTATTGCTAGGAGTTTGTGATTGGGCATTGTTTATAAATAGACTTTTTTCAGAAATAGAATCAAGTTAGTTAAAAAATTAGATCAAAATTCCTTAAGGTCTAAATTAAAAATCAGCATAAGGATTACAATCTGGATTAATTTTCATAGATAGTAATAGCATTATGCTTTGCCATTGAGTTTTGAGTAAGAGTATTGTGCTATATTTTTATATATATCAGCTTGGGTAAAATTAGTTTTCAGCTTTGTTGAACTCAAGGCTAATGATTAGTTTGGAAATCTTATGGTTTGACACCAGCATGATTGAAAACCTACCACTTTTGTATATGGATCAGTACTGTGTATATGAACAAAGAAGTGTGGTTTCAATTACATTGCTGCTACCACCATCTTGTATTTTTATCACCCATGAATGCTATTATCCCCTTCAAAATATTTTCTATTACAAGTAAATAATTTTATATCATTGATCAGTATAATGATTGTAAGATAATTTATAACTATTATCAGAGGAGAGTATGGTATCTCAGTGCAGGTTACAGTTAGAGCTGATCTTATAAATCAATAAAATTTAGCAACTTGTGTTGAAATTAAATTAGTTTTAGCTGTTCAAAAATCACTATACTGTATGTGAAAGAGCAATATGTGGGCTTATAAGGTCATAAAGTAGCAGTGGAACAAAAAACAGTTACATGTGCAAATGATCTATAGTTACAGTTTAAAAATACTGATTGCTATACTGACCAATAAGTGTGTTCTATCAGCATGTCAGAAGAAGGTATGTATGTGCCATCTGGTGGAATATAAATCACTTTCAAATTCCCAACAGATTAAGTGATTATTTATATTTGGTACATATTTTAAAATCTTTTCTATGTACTCTTCTATAGTGTACTAAAAATCATAAGGGAAACATATCTGAAAATAATTCATACTTGTAAAAATAAAAACCCATCACTGTTGATAAATTTGGTATTTAAAAATAAAAAAAAGATTATATCATGTATATTTTCTGTGCCTACATCTGTCAAAGCATTCTTGATCTGTATAATAAAGCAGAAGGGGGTTGCTTTCTAATTTAATTAGATTATTTGGTACCTTGCAGGATCTTCAGGATGACATTGGGAGGCAGCAAGCTGTTGTCAGAACTTTGAACATAGATGGGGATGAGATTATTGAGCAATCATCAGCAACAGATGCCAGCATTTTAAGAGAAAAATTGGACAGCTTGAATTTCCGATGGAAGGAAGTCTGCAGGCAGTTGGCAGAGAGAAAAAAGAGGTAGGATAATAATAGTTTTATTTTATTTTTGGTATTTCATAATGTATTCCAATAATGATTACTGTAAAGAAGGTCTAATTTTATGTGTGTAGATGGATCACACACTCCTAAGGAGACAATTGAAAGTATTAAGAAGTGGCTTTAGGACTTGGCATTATATTATATTAGAGTTTTTGTTTTTAGTCGCCTACGTTAAGTTGATTCCTGTCTGAATTCATTTTCTGGAGAAGAGACACCGTAGTCTCTCTTCCACAAGTAAAAGGAGTTCAAAGTAACTCCAGTTTTAGCAGACATTTTGGCAGACATTTAATACTTGAATAAATTTAATGCTTGAATAAAGTTTCTGTCATGGTTCTAATAGATGACACCAACTAAAACAGAACTCCGAGACTTGAATTTTCCTCTAAGAACATGTTTATTGGCTACAAAGTATTGGCATGGTCAAAAGGTTGTTTTATATATATGATAACTGCTACAGGATTATTATATGCACAAAAATGGAAAGACACTGAAATTTCCACAATGAAGGGAAGGTTGGTTAAAATGACAGCATTAGCAGAGCTAACATAATTGACTTAGAAAGGGGGCATTTATTACTATGATTAGAAACCCTTATGGAGTTTTTTCTGAAAAAAGAAGAAAATGTGTTTATGGATTTTATTATTAGAAAGGGTAGGCTGTAGAAATAATGAAATTATGTTGTATCATTAGACAAAGAGGATGAAATATAAGTGTACTCAATGTATTTAACTTCTGCTAAGAAGACCAGAAACTGTTTATAACTTTCCTTCCTCTCCTCTCCCCTCCCCTTCCTCCTCCCCCTTCCCATCCTCTTCCTCCTCCCCCTCCCTTTCCACCTCTCCTTTTTTCTCTTTTCTAATTATGTTGTATCATTAGACAGAGAGGATGAAATATAAGTGGGCTTGGCATATCAAAAATTCAGAAAATACCTAACTTGACTCTGCTGATGTGTCACCTTCCAAACAAAAGAGAAACAATTTTTACATATTTATTTTTTTGAAAAATACAGTACAGTCTAATCATGTGATCCCCAGCACCTGCTGATCACCTTCAGACAATGTTCTCTTTCTGTTGACAGGCCCTGTGGCCTAATTAAGGAATTTAAATGCCTCATGAAACTTTTGTTCTTGAAGTGGCTTCAGAGAATAGTCCTTTACACCCTCTGCAATTTTCAAAAGCCACAAAAAAGCATGCCCCATTCTCACATGACTTTTGAAGGGTTCATATGCCATATGAGGGCACAGTCCTCTTGTGCAACTTCCAGAGGATCTGGAGGCCACATGACAACACACCCATTCTCACACGGCCTTCATAGCCTCTGAAAATCATAAAAGAAGGGGTGTGCTTTCGAGAATAGTTATTGTCAGTTGTTGGTGAATGATAGGTGTCATTCAAAACCTCATGGTTTGTCACCTTTAAGGATTAATAGGGGCAATATTCTTGAAGTAATAATATAAAGACATAGGACTTTTGTATTACCATGTACATTACATAAGAAATCTAAGGATTTATCATTAATACCATAGGCCAGAAAAATCAGATAATTTCTATAAAAATGTCAGTAACAGATTGTCTCATATGTCTATGGAGATTCTCAGTCATCCAGGTCATGGTTGTCCCAAAGGTGCTTTTTTCACGAGGCAACTGGACTTTCGTGTTTTTCTTTGAAGACATTTCGCTTCCCATCCCAGAAGCTTCTTCACCTCTGACTGGATGATGGGGAATGGCGGCATTTATACTCCTTGCAGACAGCTGGTCATTTGCATTCTTTTAGTGAGTCGTTGAAGCCCCTGGATGCTTAGCTGTGTTGTCAGAGTCACTGAGTAGTACATATGGATATGGAGCCTTCTTGGAACTGTTGAAACTGTTGACTGTGTTGTAGACTGGAGATAGATGATGTTGTATCCTTCCACTTCTGTTGAGAAACAACTGTTCAGTTTTGACATAGATGGCCTGTATTTCAAATCAGTGGTCCTCTCTGTCCAGAATGTGGACCTTGCTGTCTTCAAAAAGGTGGCCTTTGTCTTTTAAATGCAGATGGACTGCTGAATCTTGTCCTGATGAGTTTGTTCTCCTGTGTTGTGCCATGCATTTATGAAATGGTTGTTTTGTTTCCCCAATGTACAGAACTGCACATGGTTCACTGCATTATACTGCATATACCACATTGCTCAGTTTTTGTCTGGGTATTTTATCCTTGAGGTAGACAAGCTTCTGCCTTAGTGTATTCTTGCAAATAATGAAATTGTCTCATAGTTTAAGCAAGAACAAGACTAGCCTTTGCTGACTTCAATCCACTTTACTCTTGATGTTGTCTAACTATTCCTTATCCTCAAAACATTGAAGCTAGATCTACTGTACATCTTTTTTCAGTTGTAGAAAGCACTTTTATTTTTAAGTACACAAACATTATTAAAATCTGACTATTTAATGCACATAACTGTTCTTCTTTGCACTTACTTTTAAATTATATGTCAATTCTTCACCAGGCTCTCTTTATTATTCCATTTACTAAAAATATTAGAAGTATTTATAATGCAAGCAGATTCTCATCCAATATTTCAAACAGACCACAGCTTTTTTTTGGTCTTCAGTAAATGCATTTAAATTACTCTTGTAATAAAATATTTAGCACTTAATTGCAGATGGAGAGTTTTAAATGCACCATTTATAACTGTTACTACCACATACTGAAATAAATCCTAGCAATTGTTACACTTGTAAGTAAACAAAGAAATAACAGTTGAGATATTGAATGCCTGAATAAAGCATTTTTAAACATTGCTATTAAGATAGGAATCCTTTTTTTAAAAAAAAATGAAGGATTACTTTAATGTTCCAATAAAAGAGAATATCTGTAGTTGAGGGTTGAACTATAGAGTTCTTGGGGGTTTCTGAGCTTGGTTGTTTGATTGCAGATGTTTCATTACTCAGGTAGGCAACATCATCAATGCAAGTATAGGGTTAGCATCCTGTTTATTTGCTGTAGCTTGATTTTGGTGTGGGGGATGATTTCCTCCTTGGTGGTTCTTTGATTATTGTTTTCTGTCTGATTGTATGACTAGTGTTGATCCCTGCTTATCTGTTGATTGCTGGAGAACTGTGTTCTAGTCTTTTTGTTTCCTTCCTAGGTTTTTTTTTAAATTGTCTCTTTCGAATGGCATGGAAATATAATCTATCTCTATGTGTCTATTGATGTCTGATTTGCCCAAATGTCAAGCTTCCAGGACTTGGTTTGGTCTAAGATGACAACAGTTTCTGGTTGGAAATGTGGTTGATTCTGTCCTGGTGTTCTAAATTTAAGGAGGTTTCACCATGTCTTTAGATTTGAATTTTTGGATGTGCTTGACCTGTCTTCTGCCTACTGTATCTGTTTTCCATAGTGGCTCTTGTAGTCCTTGCACTATATATTGTAGGTGTTTCTTCTCAAGCAGTTGTCTTTTGGTTTGCTTAAGATGTTTTGGAGTTGGTTTGTGTGCTACATTGATGACGTGTGGTTGTAGCAATCTGTTTGTTGAAAGAAATGTACTGGGAAAGCATAAAAATGAAATCTGCTGTTTCATTTTCTTTTTTAGCAAAATAAGATGAAATTGCCAAGAATGATAGATCCATTGCAAGTTATTGCTAGATATTGCTGCATGTCTAAATACACAGCCCCTAAAATTCATTGGATACATAGAGCAAAAAACAGGAACAGTTTATAAAGCCTGGATAAATGTGTAGTTGTTTTAATTATTTGAAAGTGGTATTTTATATATGATCTGTCTTTTACAAACCACTTTTCAAATATTTTCACACTTTTATTACTGTTATACAATGGAGCGACATGGAGGCCTAGAGGTGAAGCTCTCGCCAGACAATCAGGAAGCTGTGAGTTCGATCCTAGGTAGCAGCAGATATTTTTCTCTCTGGGTGAAACAAGAAAATATTTGCTGTGAGCTCCACATAGGCATTAGGAAGGGCATCTGGCCAGTAAACACTCAGCATCATTCAGTCACCCCCACTCCACCCAATGCAAGGGATTACAGGATCATTTAAAAGAATTATTGTTATACAATACACTATGATATCATGAATATATATTAGCTCAGAGTCACAAATGAATAAGAGAAGACAAAGACAGACAGGTAACATAAAAAAAGAATGATATTCAAAATACGTTTTGGAAGTTGTCTAAGAATGAGCAGCCAGGCAAGAAAGTCAAGGAGTTAGGTGTACAAGTAGTTTTTTCATCTGTACTGCCAAGGTCAACATCCAGTAAGAGAACAAAGGATTCTAGAAGTGAACCACTGGCTAAAAGGTTGGTGTCGCCAAAAGAACTTTGGATTCCTGGGCCATGGTCTACACTACCTCCATGATGGATTTTTGGCAAGGGATGGACTGCACCTCACAAAAACTGGGAAGAATGTTTTTGGAAAATGACTGGCCCAACTTAACAGTAGGGCTTTAAACTAAAATTAAGGGGGGATCTCCAGGACCTAATATCAAGCAAAAACCCATAGAAAACAAGTCAAATAATGAGGTAAGGAGGGATGGGAAGGAAGAGAAACTCAAACACCAAATAGGATACATAGGAAGCATTCCCAGAACCAGACATAAAGATCTCAAATGCCTATATATAAATGCTCAGAGTTTGGCAGTTATGAGCTAACAATGGCAATTAGAACTGCCACAATTGCCATCATAAGTCATCATGATCATTTGAGGTTGCACATAACTTAGCAATGGAGTTGTCAGTCCCAATTAGCATTATTAAGTGAGGACTACCTGTAGTAAATATGCAGCTTTCTGGGGACTATTTTAAAAAACAAGAAACAATACAAGTTCTCATTGCACTTTTCTTCCTGAGTTTATTTAAGTATAGGCAGTTATTTAAACTTTGATTTTTTTTCTAGACGTTATAATTTTATAACAGGGGTCAGGGGAACTTAAATTATGTCAGTAGTTTTTATTTGGTTACTTTATTTGTCTTCTGGAACCATTTCTAATTCAGTTGAAAGAAATGTATTTTGTTCTTATACTTACAGATTTTTCACCAGTCTCTTTTCTAATCAGACTGATATTCAAAGCTTTGTTAGACAAAGCCAACTAGTACAATATGATCATATTAATATCACATTAGTCCTTCAATTAACATTTACAAATACATGGCAAATTGGCCATTATTTGCATATTGCAAGGTATTGTTTTATTTTCCACTGCTTTAACATTACCCTCTTGTGATTCTGGAGCTATATACACACATATTTTGATCAGGAGCCCAGAGTCACAGTTGGTAAAATGGGTGGCTACATCAATATGATTATTAAATAATATGTATCACTTTAAATTTGTATTTTATTGTTCAGAAATGCAACCATATTCAATATATAGAGGGGCATTACAGCATTCTATTTAGAAGGTTTCAAACATAGTCTTAAAATCATACTAGAATAATTGAAAAAGATGATATTATATTAAAGTTTGTGTTTCAATATATGTATGTGTCATCTTTGTCTAAATTTTAATTAAGCTTTTTTATTCTAATTCAGTTTAAAAATAACAGTGAAGAAACTGTGCAGTAAACTTGCCATATGCTAACAATTATTTGTCTAAGTAAATAAATACATAAATACTAATTCTGAAAATAATGGCTTGTATTGTTCAACATCATATTAATACTTCAGCAAATCACCAGAACATGAAAATAAATTGCTTGGATAAATTGTATCAAAATTATTATAAATGATTTATTTTAAATGATCTAATTAACATAATCTGTTTTTATTTTGCTCAACGAGCAGGAAATATATCAAATTATACCATGCTCAGAAAAAAAGTAGACAAGCAGATTTCTTGTTTCAATACTCTGTAAAACAATTCTATCATCCTTTAATTAGAGATTAGAATATAGGTGGGAAATATTAACGTCTAACAGCTTTGTATAGCATATGTCCTATAGGTTTCAAAGGAAATTCATTTAGGATTAATGTTTTAAAAATGGATCCCTTCAGGCAAGGGATAATCATTTCATAATATTTTCATTTTAGACCTTTGTAAGTATATTGTTAGAAATTATTACAGTTAGAATGGCCAGGAAGTTGCTGGACGGGGTTCCTATATTTTATACAGGCATCTCAGCCAGCATCTCTAGGGAAAGTTGATGTGATGGCTGTAAATTATGCATTTACACTTACTGTTTTATTGCAATAGTAAAAGAATCTAGGCTCTCATGTGAAAAAAAAGCCCTAAGAAAATGTCTTAATAAAATCAACAGGTAATTATTATTACTTTGCCTCAACTGTTTGCTTGCTTGCTTGTTTGTTTGTTTCATTGGAAAGTATTGAAGTATATTTTAAGTCTGGTAATGTATTGTAATGTAATGCATTCAGAAACATTAGAAGGTTTAAAAAATATTCATAGTTGAACATTTTGTGCTGTCAAATATTATACTAATTAAATACTGTAAATAGTACTTTAAGATTATTTCTACTGAGACTGGTATATTAGTATGGATCTTATATTTCACCCATTTGGATGGAACTTCTTATATGTCAGAGTCTGCTCTTCTAGTGGAGAGAAGTCTATGACAGTTTGATTTTCTTGATTTCAAAGGTGATGTCTCTTAAAGGAGACATAAAGAATCCTCCATGGAAAATTTTATTTTCATTGTCATGCTTTTCTAGATATTTATTCTTTCAAGACCATAAAAGATCCTTCATCAATCTAGTATTCATCTATAGGGAATCATAAAAGTTTGGAAAGGGGCATTTGGGCCATCAAGTCCAATTCCCATTTAGTGAAGCACTCTGAATTAAAAGATCCCAAACAGGAGACTGCCTTGGCTCTGGTTGAACACATTCAGTAAAAAGTCTTTGGGGATTCTCAGTCATCCAGGTCATGGTTGTCCTAAAGGTACCCTTTCAAAGGCAACTAGATTTCTCCTTGAAGACATTTCACTTCTCATCCAAGAAGCTTCTTCAAAGTCCAGTTGCCTTTGAAAGAGTATCTTTGGGATTCAATAAAAAAGGATTTCACCACCACACTTACTACTAGGAAGTTTTTTTTCTACAACTGAATTTCCATTCTATAGTTTCATTATTCTGTGTCATACATTTTGGAATAAGAGAAGTATTGACTTTCTTCCGAGTGACATTCCTTCAGGAATCCTTAGAATGTTGTCATCTTTATCATCATCATTTTCTCTCAGTTGTCTTTTCTTGAGGTTAAACTATCTTCACAGGGTTTAATTTCTAGTCTCCTGATCATTGTTATTCTTCTCTGAATTTATTCAAAATTCCCTGAATGCTTCACTTCTAATTTTGTCCCCAGAGATGCACAAAATAGTCAATGTATTGTCTCATCAAAGCAGAACCAAGTCAATGCAATCTAAAATTAATTTACTTATTTTATTTATTTACTTATTTTTGCATCACACTACAAGCTCATATTCAGTTTGCATTCAGTTACTCTTTCATCGTTTTCTTGCAAATGAAATTAGCAAGCCAAGAATTCTTATTTTTAAATATGTGCATGTGCCCTTTGTTTTTATACAGCAACTGTAGAACTTGGCATTTGTCTCTATAAATTTCATTCTGTTTCTTTCAGCTCATTTCTAGAACATATCAAAGCTATCTATCTTATTTCTCTTTTCTATTCCAGTAAAATTTGTAACATCTTCAACCCTTGTAAAGATTCCCTTCATTTTTTAATCTAACTCATTAATGAACATATTGAAGAGTAGAAAATCCCTAACTATCCTTAGATTTTCCCATTTGATATATGTCCCCAATTTAATTAGGGATCATTAATTTTTCAGGAAGACAAATCAGTAATTTCACAGAAGCATTATACTTAACAAAGTTTGTAATCTCAACAGCTTTGCAATGATTAAAATCACTGTAATGCATCTTTGAAAAAAAATATCCTTGCTTTTGGAAGCATCAACATTATCTCTTTGTTTGTAATAAATGCCACAAAATGTACTGCTTTTATTTCTTCACCAATATATTAATTCAGGTATTGTCTACAGTGGTGGTTCTCAACCTGTGGTCCGTGGACCCCTGGGGGGTTGTGATGTTACCCCAGGAGTTCCACAAATGCTTGAAGAAAGGTTATGAGTTAAGTCTTGGTGGTCTGTTGCCATGTTCCATTGCCATAAAAGGTACTTAAAGGGGGCCCATGGTGAAGAAAAGGTTGAGAAGCACTGGTCTACAGCATTAACTTGGTTCATTTGGATTTCTAAGCAGGAATTGATGTTTTAAGCATATAAATGCAAGTCCTCTTTTCTTATACTTTTGTTCCTTTGGGAGTGATGAAAAGTATATGTTGATTGGTACAGTAGGTTTCAAACATGGGAATCATTTTTACCAGATTGCCATATTAAATAAGGATATACAGAGTTTCAGATTTAAAACCCTAAGATTGCTTTAGAGAAGGCATGGCTTTACCACTTCCATTAATTTAAGGAAGATATGTTTTTCCTAGGTTCTCATAGTAGCTATGTAGTCCCAGAAAACTGTGTATTTAAAATAAAGAGGCATCAGAAGCACCAGTTTCAGAATAGCACAGATATACCACAGATTACCTAAAACATTTGTTGGGGAGGGGGTTGAGATGACTGACTGCTATGCAATCTTCCCAAAAGACTCAGTTTCTTTAGGATAGTACTGATAAATGCAGTGTGCTTGTCCATGACAATTCTGAATCACATATGGTTTCAGATCCATCTGCATATTTAAAAATTTTCATTCCATCCTTCAAAGATGCATTATAGGGTAACTTCAGTTTTAAAAATTTCCTACAATAACAATTTGAACTTGAACTTAGCAATGTATGCCATTTCTTATACCTGCCTGTGTTTCATAGAGTTGATTGCACACAACCAATCACTAAATACTATGCATAAAGCAATTCAATTTCAGATATTCTTGGAATTACTAGCAGCACAACTAGCACTGTCTCACAAAATATTATACAGAAGTGAATTAACTAACAAATAACAGCCATGGAAATCTGCAATCTCTTTTGAATTGGTTTGATTTTATGTGTAGACAGTTTAAAAAGCACTGAATTAATTGATGGATTATTTGAAAACATGCCACTTAAATTTTGAATACTTTATTTGAATTAAGAAATATATGTTGCTGGGCATCTGTTAAAATATTTTGCAGCTGTAGTTATGTTAGTCACTATAGTAATAATAAATATTTTTAATACGAATATACAGTCTATTCAGTCTTAATTATATTTTTCTTTTGTCACTACAGATTTGATGAGGAGGAGCATCTTCTGGCAGAATTACAGCATAACTTCAATAAATTTATTTTATGGTTAAACGAAGCCAGCAATATTGTCACCATTCCAGTTGAGCCAGGAAATGAATATCAGTTAAAAGACACCCTTCAAAAAGTAAAGGTAATTTAATTAGGAAACAGTTGTTTCCATTTTTTTCCTTTTTCCTTCCCTTTTCCCTATCCCCTGTGAAATTTAAACACTATAAACATCTTGAGAAGCTTTCCCCAGTATGATGAATTACTGATGTGTTAGATTATAACTTACCTTTATAACATTTCTAAGGTTTTCAAATAGGAAAACTTCAGTAATATTTTTTGGAATCATGTGAAATATAGCAATAGCAATAGCACTCAGACTTTACAGGACTCTCTAAGCAGGTTACAGAGTCACATATTGCCCCCAACAATTTGGGTCCTCATTTTACCAATCTCAGAAGGATGGAAGGCTGAGTCAACCTTGAGCCGGTCAGAATCAAACTCCTGCTATACTGCATTCTAGCAATTATGCCACCAGTGATTATGTGAGAAAATGAAGTCTTGCTATTTATGATAGAAATTGATTGAATATATGACATTAAGTTGTCATCAAATCTTAGCAACCAAAATATTTTTAGTATTTACTTTTTGAAAAAGAGTTTTGAAATGACAGATGGTTTTTAGTCAAAGTACAGTTCTGAAAGAACTATTGTATGCAGACAGTTTCAAAGAAAAATATTAGGTTGTGTTTAACATTACTGTTTTTGAATCAAACTCTAGGAAAAAAAATAAGATAAAGACTCACTTGAATTGAACCTAACTGCTGGTGATTTCATGTATATATGCAATCTTTGCTGTTCTGCTGTCATCTCTACTCATTAGGTGCATGGACAGGGAGGTCTTACATCCTCTGACTTTTCTAATTACTCAGGTTTTGCCTGTGATTGAAAAGCCTTGTGTGGTTTCTGACTTGTCCATCCTTAGGCTGATATTCCACAGGTTCAGCTAGAGCAGTTTCTTCAGCATCAGATTCAGACTCTGAATGTGAGCTAGGCCATGACAATTATAATCTATATGAAAATTATAATCTGATGTATATATGTAAGTATGCATGTATGTATGTATGCATGTATTATGTTTATATACATTTAAATTGATTTTGTGATTGTTCATCACTCAGAGTCACTTTTTTGAGATGGGCAGCTGTAGAAATTGAATTAATTAAATAAATAAATTTCTGACTTGCAATGCTTCTATCACTTCTAGAATGTCCATTCACAGTTTGTAGCTTCTGTAAAGTCCAAATCTCTCCCACCAATCCAGGATCTAATCATAATTTGTTACACTGTCTTGTTCCCTAGTGATCTCTCCTTTGAAAAATAAGGTATCAAGATGTTTTTTTTTTATTTGAAGAAATCATAATATTTCACTCTATTAGTATGAAAATACTTTTGAACTATTCCAAACCCTCTGCAAATGTTTCATCCCTTTGAAGCAACCATATTTTTTTCTGTTTTCCAGATGAGATTGAAAAAATACCCAGATACCTTAATAAGTCAACTCAATACAACAATTATGTGCCATCAAGTTATTTTCAACTCCTAGGAACCACATAGATGTTTTCTATAGTGATATCTCCTTAACCTAGTTTTCAAGTGTCCCAGTGGTGTACTCATCACCAATGTAACTGGGTCCTCATCCTCTTATTCCCTTTCCTTTCCCTGTTCTCAACTATAGAGAAATCTGGTTCTTCACATAGTGTGTCCAAAGGAGGATAATTTGAGCCTGGTCAATTGAGACTCAAGTAGGAATTTTGGTTAATTTGTTAATGAACCATTTGTTGTTTTCTTGGCTGTCCATGGTATTCTCAGGAATCTTGTCCAACATTAATGTTCAAAAGCATCGATATTCTTCTTATCTTGCTTCTTTAAACTCCAAATTATACTTCCTTGAACTACCACAAGAAATACCATGGCTTGTACAATTCTGATCTTTGTGGGTATAAATATATCATAGCATTTGAATATCTTCCAAGACCATCATGGCTGCTCTACCAAGTGCGGAAGTTACCACTTTGATACCTCCATTGCTAAATCTAAGACTGGTTGTTCTACCTGCCGTCCTTAATTTGATCTGTTTTATATCTAATTTTAGTACCATTTTTTCATTGTGCACTTTGACTTTTAGTTTTTGCAGATCCTTTACCCTTCTTGCTGAGAGTAGTGTCATTAGGATAGCACAGGTTATTGAGGTTCCTTCCTTCAGTTTTGAAACTACATACATCTTCCAATTCATCTGCCCTTAATGTACTATATATTCAGTGTACAGATTAAATAAATAAAGGATATGTTCCTTGCCAACCTGGAGTTCTGTCTGTACTATGGCTTCCTAAGTATATATAAGTTTCTCATGAGGACAGTAAGATGTTCTGGGATTCTCATTTATCTGAGCACTTTATACAGCTTGATATGATCAACACAATAAAGACCTTTCTATAGCTGATGAAGCACATACTTACTTCTTTTTGGTATTCTTTGTCCTTAATTATCTAGAGTGCATCAGCAATAAATGTTCATGTTCCTCAGCCTTCTCTAAAGCTAGCTTGAATATGTGGTATCTCTTTTTACACATAGGGCTGTAATATGCTTTGGATGATCCTAAACATTCTTTTGCTAGCATGTGAAATTAAGTACATGTGTGATAGTTTGTACACTCTGTTAAAATTTTATTTTTTGGCATTGGAATGTAGATTGATTTCTTCCAATTGATTTGCCACTTGTGATTTTAGATTTGTGAGCATAGCTTGGTTAAGACTACAGCAATACTACAATTTTTTCCCCAGTGTGTCAGGTGAAAAATAAATCCTGTCATTCCAAAGCATTATTTTTTTAAATAATCTTCAACCATGCACATTTCTACTATTTAACAAGTATGTAAATTCTGGAGCTCATTAGAAATTAGAGATCTTCTTTTTTTCTGGCCCAGGCTTTTAAATATTCTGTCAAATTATTTTATTTCATAGAAGCTCTTAAAATATTTATTTTGAAGAAAAAAGAACCCTACATGCAGAAGTCGGATTATTCTTGAACCTGAAGCATATGAACCTTGAATAAAAGTTGTGGATATTTTGTTCTGAATAGAGCTCTTGAGTCTATTTGCTTCAGCTGATAAATCAATAGAAATGAAGATAAGGAACTTGAAAATTCTGCTATTCATTTTAAATGTTGCATTTGTCTTTTCCAGTTAAAAGTGGAAGAATTGCCTCCACACAAGGGAATACTGAACCAATTAAATGAAGCTGGAGGAAAAGCACTCAGTAGTGCATCACTGAGCCCTGAAGTAAAACATAGGCTTGACAGTAGACTCAAAGAGGCTAACCATCGCTGGATCAAGGTTAGACAGTAATAAAGTTGTAATTTATATGTGTAATTGGGAACACGTGCTTACAACATGCTTCAGTCTCCTCCTCTGCCCTCGGCACACATGCTTAAATGTAATGATGTTGAGCAATCTTCTTTACAGACAAGCTCCCATTTCTTATTAAAGTGAAATAAAAGAAGTCATGATGGAATTAGCCAGTGAATGAGGATCTATTGTCTTTCCCTGGATGCAGGAAATAATTTTAAAAAAGGCCTGATATCATCAATCGCCCTATTGTTTATTGTTGTAATTAAAGTTACAACTTTAAAATTAAAGATAGATTAACTTAGTGTCCTGAGGCAAAAGACTTTAACAAAAACAATGTATAATAAAGTTTTGCTTTGCTTTTCAAGTCCTTAAGGATGAATACTCACTTTTCTTATAGAGACCAGATACTTAATAATAGTTTTCTCTAGTAGTAAAGAAATAAAAGGACTTTCTCAAGCTAAGTATAAAAAAGTTTACCTATGCAATACATTTCTATTTTTTCTTAATCAAGATTTCTAAGATAACTTTATTTTCATTGCTAGAAATTATTAAAATGTTTTACATTAATAAAATATTTTTAAAGATCCCCCAAAATGTATACATTTATTTAATGACTTGTAAATTAGAAATTGAATCCTTTTTTCCATTTTAGAAATGTGAATTGGCATGTCCCATTACAATTAAACTCAAGTTTCAAATTACCCATCTAAAAGATATCAATATTTCTTTGCAAGAAATGGCAAAAATGTATATAAGAATTTAAGAATATACAGTAGTGGCCAAAATTGTGGAAACCTTTTGGGGAAAGTGTACAGTAGAAATGCTACCTTTGGTTAAGTTTCCACCAATTTTTCTTCTAATTTCTTTATAACTGTAGCCTTGTTCACTTAATAATGCTATTTTACATCGCTTTCTGGGCAACCAGTCAACCCATTGCAAACACCATTACTTTAATTTTATTATGTTTTACAAGCTCACTAAATGAAAGAAAAAACCCCAACCAACTTGATAGCGATCACATAACACACTGACAAATCTCCTCCTCTCAGCTTCAATACATGACATCAGTAACTGAATCCTACTGTGATCTGATTGGCTCATTGCCAAAACAAGATGACACCTGATTGGCTCTCTAAACACTCATGCTCATTGGCTACAATCACATGAAGGAAAGTTACCTGATATCAACCTAAGCAAGTTGTGCTTCCTTTTTCTGGTTATTTGGTTATAACATTTCATAGAATACAGTACAGATAATTGAACAAACTATGTTGCATTACATTCTTGATTAAATTATCTTTCCATTGATATATAATTTTATGGTACTACTAAAAAAAAAAGTGGTGTTATTAGCCATCAAACCTCAAAAATACACTTTTCCCAAAAGGTTTCCACAATTTTGGCCACTACTGTTAAGTGCCATAGTGAGTGAAACCAGAAGTTTATTTCAGTGTTTTCTAAACTTGTTAACTTCTATTTCTGTGGAGTTCTTATCAAATTGTATTTCTCCAGTCAGCATGGCTATTGGTAAGAATTCCAGGAGTGGAAGCCCATTTGTCTTTAAACTGACAAGATTTAGAAACACTGGTCTACCTGGTATAGTATATTTTCTTTACTATGGCCAACCAGATGCCTCTAGCGTGAGATTAATTGCAATTGCAATTTTATTAATTGGTACTAAACAGGCACATTTCCTGTGAAGCTCATGTTATAGATCTGTCATATTTAGTAGTCTTATGAAATTATATAACCAAGCTATAACATTCCTCATTCATCTATCTACAGTTGAAGGAATATGATTGTTCTTTTTCTAATATTGAAATGTGAATGGTCAACTAAAATTCAGCTTGGAGATTTAAAAAGTATCTACTTATATAAGAATTGTGCTTTGTGACTGTAGAAAATGTTGACTCTGAAATAAAATTTTGTCTTATATTTTCAATATTTTCAATATTTATACACTATCATTTATGTTTAAAAAAAACCCTTTTTAAAGTGTAGAAATGCTTTATATATCAAAATAATATGTTTACCTTTGATTTCTATGCATATTGCTTTGAGGGCTGGGAACAATATTTACAGCGCTATCTTAAGGCACATACAAAACGCGTTGGCATTAGTTATTCAAAACATTAGTGTTTATATGAAACAGTGCGCATAAATCCCTGTTTGTAACACTTGAAAAAGTAATAATGAAAATCTGTAGTTTGTTTGTTTTTCTTCAAAGTAGACTACTTTGAGCAGTAAGTATACTGGGGGAGGGGGGTAAATTAAACACTTTCCTCCCAAAGTATTGCCCAGGTGAAATCCCCTCGATATTATTTCCATAAGGATAGATGCAAGACTTAAGTCAGAATGTGTAGAGTTTCAGCTTTAGAAAATAAAGGGCAATAGAGCTCTTACAAAATAGATTTTGTTGTACAGCAGTTATTAAAGGATCAAGTCAGTAGCCTTCAAATTGCATTTAAGTTGATTAAAGTAACTTAGGCAGGCATAACCATTTTTAGTGGTGAAGCCTAGAAAAAAGCATACCTATAAAGAGGCGAGTAGTCTGTTCTCTCAATATGACTTTACACACCTTTCTGATATCACAATCCCGGATACAAGCTGTATATAGTTTCACCATAACTGTTTCATATTCTAGCAAGAAAATAAATACTAGCTAAATTGGGAAAGCAGACTTTAATTAATTGCTCCAGCAGCATTTGTTTTAAGTCTATATTGGTTATGTGTGATTGAGAATAAATAGTTTTAGAAGGGGGTTTGTTTAAGGAAATGGTATATTAAGAAAGCTTTGTATCTCCTGTCAGACTTCCATCACATAGGGTCAGAGGCGTAGCGTGCGGGGTGCAGGGGGGGCCAGCCGCACCGGGCGCAACATCTGGGGGGGCGCGCTCGCACTCGCAGCTCTCTGCCCCTGCCTGTGCGAATCCGATCTGAGCTGCCGGGTCACCGCCCATTGTGGAGGGGGGGGCGCAAATTACTTGCCTTGCCCCGGGTGCTGACAACCCACGCTATGCCACTGCATAGGGTTATTAGTTGTTAATGTGGTTGTTGTTATTTTTTAACAGCATAATTTTGTTCAGAAAAAAATAACACTCATAATTTTATAATTATAAAATAATGCACTTTTTAATGTCTTGTTTGTTTTGAATTTTCTTTTGTTTGTTTTCTATTTATTTTTTTACAGTTTTGTATTTTAATCTTTATTGAATAAAAGTTGGTAAATTTCGGGGGAAAAGGAAAATTTTGCTTGAGAAAATATTAATCATTCTTAGGATTGCCTAGTTCAGCTACTATTACTGGTTTTTTCCCCATCAACCTAGAAAATGTGATGAATAACTTATCTGAAATTTGGTTGTATGCCATGGACATGCACCATATGCCAGGATATCTCAGGAGAAAAAGTGACTTCTGTTTAGGAAATGTTCTAATCAACTTGAAAACAAAAATCTTCCCGCTTGCAAAGTAGAAATTTTATGTACCATACTGTATTTGTCATTATATCTTACGCAGTTAGCAGAATCCTATTTTATCATGTTATATAACTGATCTTTCAGAATGTTTAAGTTGGAGTTCATTGAGGTGCTACATTCATGACTGTGGGACAAACTTTCAAGGACCTAAAATACTGAGTCTTATTGGATTGTTAAGAAAAAAGAATATTATATCTACATTAGATATTTAATGAATTGTTAGCAACAATGTACGCTGAAGGGAACATTCTTTCATCTTGATGGGAAAGTAATAAAGTTTCATGTTCTATAAAAAAGGTAGAAATATTTGATAGAACAAAAAAATGCAAAATAAAATAAAAATGCAAAATTGTATCAGATTTCTATGTTTAGCATCTACATTCATTATTTCTAAGCAATGGATATGTTTTAAATATATATCAATATAGTATGATAGGGTCTGTCTATATTATTGCTGAAGAAAGTTTTGCCAAAATCCATTACTTGACAATAAAAATAAAAAGTTAAAATGTATCAACATTTAAATTTTAATTTTATTTATGTTTTTAAATGGCTAAAACATTTAAATGAAAGGCATTATGTGAATAAAATTGAATTATGCTTCCACTTTAAAAAATATGAGAGGCATATACATTCACATTGTCTGAAATTAATGATCTGTAACATGATTTGTATTAAGTCTATAACATGATTTATAATAACGCCTATATTGGAAACTATGGGTTTATGGCAAAAAGCTCAATGACAGTCCCTTGAATTATCAGGGAAATTGATGTTGATTGAAGAGATAAAGTCTGATATTAGCTGTTATTCTTCATGGAAATTCTTGCTGCAGGCAAGCTTGGACATTTATAAAGCCAAAAAGCAGCATTTTTCTATACTGTTGTCAATAGTAATGATAGATAAATTCATATTTACATGACTGAATCATAAGAGTTACTTCTAGGAGGAAATGTGCATGTACAGTATGTACACAAACATGTACTGTATGTATGCCTACATATACAAGTATATATGTTTAGGTTAGATATTCTAAACCTTTTTTTTCAATGGAACAAAATGTAAAATATTTTAAGTCTTCCAATCACAGAAAACAATGGGAACTCAAACCAAGCAGTAACTTTCTATTTTTCAGCCTAAGAACCACAAGATTGCTTCAAATATCTGTAATAAGAGTAACAAGGGAATTGTTTATTATTTAAAATTTCATTATAAATTTTCATTTAACATGGAATGTTTCTATGTTAGGGAAGTTTTAATGAAATTTATCAGCCTCCCCATCGCACAGGAGCAAATCCAGCAATAGCTAATTAGTAAGTTATGTGCCTGTGGGTGTGGTAATGAAATAAAAAGATGCTACTTTAGTCTGATCTAAATAATATCATCATTAAAACAGCAAGAAAATAAACATATCACTATGCAGCAGCACCAATACATATTTTCATTTCTCTTCTGCCTTTTACTTTTATTTACCTGGCATATCTCTCATGAACTCTAAAGCCATGACTCATCTACCAGACAGAAAGGCAAATATATGATTCCAACCAACACTCTTTGTTCCAAACAAACAGCAAAAATATCTAGATTTTTTAAAAAAGACCTAGCCAAGTGTTTAATAATTTCTACACCCAACCCCTCTCCCCATCCATATCCAATATCTATATACTACTTAAAACCTTGTGATCATGTCCTTCAACTGGGCATCCCAAGTAAACAATTTTTGAACCAAAGTACTTTAAATGGGCTGATGTGTCCAATGGGACTTATGACTTCTGGGGGAATGAAATTTGGGAAGGTTGTGCTTCTTCAGTGCTACTGACTGCTGCTTCGCTTCTGGCAGCAACATGGTCTTCATTTTCAACATTCTAGAACAGTTTCCCAGCCAGTCTTGCAATCCTTCACTCCCTCCCCCACTAGGAAGGAAGGAAGGAAAGAAAGATTCCAATGCTCCCTGCCAGATTCCAACAATGAAATTCAATAGGAATGTCAGCAGGAAACCAGAAGTTGTTCCTGCTCCCATTGCTTTTTTGCCTACCCTTGGTCATTCTGTTTCTCTGTTTAGGTAAGGAAACCTAAATCTCTCGTTTTAATCTCTATTTGTTATTTTATTCAAAAGGAAGTTAAAATACAAAACTCCATTTTTTTAAAAAAAACACAAAAAAATCCACAAAATAATCAAGACTTTTAAAAAGTGCATAGAAAAGAGAAAAAACAACAACATATATACACGTTACCCCCCTGATTAATACATTAGTACAATATTGGTTCCCACTCCTTGTGAAACAGCCTCTCCCCAAAAATTTTAAATTAATAAATCTATTTGCAAATTATTGACCTGTCATTCTATATACCATATTAATGACAAAATAGTTACAGTAACAGGAAGAATAATAATTTGCTATGGCATCTTAATTATCCCAAATAATCTCAAAAGTTAAGAGCAATTCATCCTGGATCAAATATCCATGTTCCTTTTTTTAATGGCATCTCTTATCAATTGTCTAATTAAATATAATAAATTCAGTCTCCACAGTGGGTCTATCTTCCCAACAAAGTCCAAATAGAAGTGTAATAAATTCTTTCTCCAATCTCCTCTCAATTTGTCACTTCTCCCTTCAGTCAGGCTTCTGGTACAGTAAAAAAATACAGACTTGAACTTCAAAGAGACTTATGTGATTGGTTGAGTTAGTTCTGTGAACTCTCCAACTTTCGTATTAGAGTCCTTTTGTGAATCTAACTTGTCCAAAGCTACATGTTTCTGCATGTTTTCCACAGCCATTATCTCATCAAACTTTTTTTTAAAAAAACTTTCAACTAAAAATTGCATGTTACCGGAAAGCCTTTTCTCAGATTTCAGCTACCATTGTGGTTGTCTGTATATTGTCTGTAATGTGATACATTGTTGCACTGTGTAACATGTTCAGAGGACAAAGAATGCTGAAACAGAAGAAAACAGGAAAGATATTTTCTGGATATTTTGATCCAAGATTAAAAGAAAAATTCAAAAGAAATAAACTCCAAATATTTTGCAAATACAAAAAAATGCAAAAATCCTGAGGTGACGGTCCAATATTAATGTAAATCAAATGAAAGCATTTCACCATCCAAAAGCACAGGAAAAGCAAAAGTTATTTGATAACATAACATAACAATAACATAAATCAAAGGGGGGAAAAAGAACAACTAGAGTCCAGCAAGGGGTTGAAATAAATCAGCATTCAACAGCCAGTCAACCTTTGAAGACAAAAAGTAAAGTGAAAAAATAAATTCAAAAAGTGAAAGTGAAAACCCAGGCTTGCTTAGAAAACAAACTGCTGAAAGGAAGATGGATTTGCCCAGTAACTTTATGACCACTCACACAGGGAACTGGAATTCTTCAAAACTCCCCTTCCCAGATGAGTCCAGAGCCATCCAAAAGTTGTCTTGGTCATTCTTAAGTGCTCCCATTCAAATCCAGGGAGCAACACTGCCAGTGAACCAGCTTTGACAGCAAAACAGTGGATCATCGACAAGAGAGAAAGAAGGCTCTTACCATAGAGCAGCGTCCTTTGGGAGGAAAGGAAATATATTTAAAATAATGACTCATTTTACTGGGTGAACAATCAGAGAGGGGTAGTTTCCACTTTCTTTTTCTCATACCTAATGTCTGGACTGAATTACCTCATATGCCTCTGGAATGCCCCTCAACTCAGAGCCCATTTGGTACAGAATGGTACAGTTAAGGTACAGAAACCAGGATACCATGATTTTTGGTCTTGCCTTAGATATGAAACTAGCTGGGTGAACTTGGCCCAGTCACTTTCTATCAGCTCTAGGAAGCAGGATAGAGCAAGCCGTTTCTGAAATCTTGCCAAGAAAACTGTAGAGATGAATCCAAGCAGTTGTCAGGAGTCAACACAGACTTGAAGGCACTCTCCTCCCCTCAAAAAGAAAATCTTCGTAAAGGCATTTTTTTTTACTTAAGAACCCTTCATGAAGACTTACAAACAAGAGCCAGTTTTGGAAAAGAAGATGGAAATGAGATCAGTTAGATCAGTTAGAATCTTTGCATTCATAGTTACAATAACACATTTGATTGTGTAGGTCATGCTAAATATATTAAGCCTAATGGGTATCTCAGAATACCTGATTACTCTTCTGCTGTATTGGAAGAGATGGCACTTTGCATGATGGTTGCAGGCTGAAACATTAGTAATATGAGATATGCAAATAATGTAATTATATTTGCTCAAAGTAATGAAAAAATAAAGGACCAGAATAATTTAAGCAATTATTAGTAGAATTGTATGGTAGTGAGAATTGTATGGTAATATTGGAAGGAATAAGAGAGATTAGATTTGTCTTTAAAAATACTCTACAATATTAGTACTCAAAATGTCAAAATGTTAACGATTTGTTCATCCAGAAGTTAAACACAATGTGATGACACCTTAACTAATGTACCAAAGCAGACACTTGTGCATATAATAAGAAATATTTATAATAAAATTATAGTCATTAATTAACCTATTGTCTGCTTATGTACTTATGTATATTTTTGTACTTGTTGTTTAATTTGCTGTTAAATAGTATTCATTCTGCCTATATGTAACAATAATTACCATTATTGTTACATATAGGCAGAATGAATACCTTTACCTTTGCCATTACTAAAAGGAATTACAGCAAGGAAGTTTTCTTTCACATTTTCCATTTAGACTCATTACCAGAACACATTCACTGGCAAACTTTCAATATGAATCCATTTCCATTATATTGTATAATGTGGTGTGATTTCCCATTTTTTGTTGTTGTTTTCATCATCTGAAAAGACTGCAAACGGCAACTAAAATAATAAACCTTTAGGCTTTTTTCTCTGTGTTGATTGGAGAAATATATGACCACTAATAATAAATAAATAATGATGACTTATCCAAGCACAGCTGCACTTGTCATATCTAATATCCTGCATTTTAGAAAGAAAGCATTTTCAAAATCCTTTTGAAATTATTTATGTAAATTTGGCATTGGCTTTGTATCTTCTTCATTCAATGAGTATTATGAACTGAAAAGTTAATAAATTTATATAGTAAAGAAGTGATTAAATAAGTAATTAAATGAGAAATTTAAAAAAACGAATCTGTAAAAATTATGTGAAATGTTTATCTTGTAAAACCTAAAAAAAAGACAAAAGATAAAAAACAATGTTATTCCAGTTTTACTTTTAGGGTAGGTGATAGAAAAGGTGGTTGTTTGACAGCTTCAGAGGGTTCTAGATGAAACAGATTATCTGAACCCCTTTCAGTTAGGAGTCAATCTCAGTTATGGGACAAAAACAGCATTTCTCAGCAGCCTTCAATATAATTGGCTATGGTTTCCTTTTGGACCAGCTGAGAGGTTCAACGTCAAGAACTGGCCATAAGTGCCCATATTCAATACTATCATAATTTCAAATGGTCACTGAATGAATGGTCATTAACCAAGGATTACCTGTAAACCTCTCCTCCCAGTCACTTATGCTATCTCAGTTATTACATCATCTAAAATAGATGGATTAGAATCTATGTGTTTATGTAAATAATAATAATAAAGTGCATACTAATTAAAATCTATAATATAATATAATATAATATAATATAATATAATATAATAGAATAGAATAGAATAGAATAGAATAGAATAGAATAGAATAGAATAGAATAGAATAGAATAGAATAGAATATGTAGTGTAGTATAATATACAGTAATTACAAAAATATAATGTTGTAATACTGAATATATATAGTAAATTTTTTTTACAATGCTGTTATATTGTATGGCTGAGTTACAATTTTATCTTACAAATGAATTTCTGATATTTTAAAGGTATCCAAAGATCTGCCTGAGAAAGAGAAAGAAATTGAATGTATGTTAAATAACTTGAATCAGTTTGAACAACAGTTAAGTCAGCTAAGATTGTGGCTTACTCCCATCAAGGACCAATTGGTACTATACAATCAAGTGGATCAATCTGGAACTTTTGACATTAAGGTAATGTTTAATTTGGATGCTTTTCTAAATGTCTATAAATTGTGAAATCTATTTAAAAATCAATTATTTTCTTTATAGAAAAATAGTCCAAGGCACAATTATGCAGTCATAAACAGTTGTTCAATTATTTAAATGTTTTGTAATTATCCACTTGTATTATTTTGTTATTTCATTTTGAAATATATATTTTAACCATATTTCACTTCTATTAAGTATAACTAAATACTTTGGGCAGGTGAGTATTTGGAAGAAACTTAAAACATATGAAAATGTAGAGGGTGAACTAATCTTGAGGTGGCTTATTTCACATGATATTTTGATTAAAAAATTGACAATTGGCTTATTCATGGATGGGTTTATAAGTGAGTATATATGGTATATACACAAAGGTTTTCTTGGCATATACAAACATACTGAAAGCACAGAATGGTCATATTATTCGGAAGGTCAAACGTTTTTTGTTTTTTATTTTTCCCATAAAACTTTAATTATTTAACTTCTCAAATTTATTTCCCTTGTTGTTTGCCATTATATTTTTGTTTCTTTTTTGAGCTTTAAGGGCTCATTTTTGAAATTCCAAAATAAAAAGTCAAATTTCCTCAAAAAACTGTAAACTTTATCTGTCTGGTCATGTATAAAGCATCTTGCAGTAGAGTCTCGTAAGGACTTTCAGGCACTTAGCAAACAAGCTTACTGAGCTGATTGCCTTGTTTGCATGTGTCATTTGAAAGGGAATCCTTAGGTCAGTGGACTCCAAAACTATTGTAATTCCTTTATTTTCCTCCAAGGTAGCTACTGTGCTAAAATATACTCTTAACAACCCTGTTGCATCTTCCTGGATTTTTTTTTTCCTTCCTTCTTTTTTTTTTAATATTGTTGAACCACTTAATGGAGTTTTTCAATGATTATGATATGGTCCCTCTCAGTAATTTTTTCTCTTCTTTTTATATCATTGCCCAGTAATCAGCTTGGGAATGCTTCAACCTCTTTCTGAGGATCTCATTTCTGTAACAAACAGGTTGTGTGATAGTGGATTCTCTGGACCTGGAAATTTAACATTTTCAAATTGTAAAGGACCCAGTTTACCTTCTGATACAAAATGCCACTTTTTGGGCCAGTCCTCCTGTTTTCATTATATTGCTTCTACAGTAGGCCAAACTATTATGCTTTAATCTCTCTTTGTGAACTGAAAGAAGAGAAATGTCATTTTTTATTCCAGTAGATATCTCTTGATTATCTTATAGCTGAGATGTCCTAATAATGACCCTATTGTCCATAATTTTAGATATCTACAGGTGAGGAAGGCAAAAAATCAGATAAGTCTTGGCTGCACACTAGGCCCTCCTCCATCGAGCATTTATAGCAGAACAATGCTGTCATTTTGTGTATGAAGAGGTGTCCTTATTCTTACTTTAGTTTAGTGCTTGATTGATAACTATTTTAGCCACTTTTTGTGATATTCACTTCTAAATATAAAATTAAATTTACATTGGTGAGTTACAGAAATAAGTATGGGGAAGCTTCTGTGCTTATCTCTATGTACACAATATTTATCAGAATACACTTAATTATAATAAGATTGGTTTTATAGAAAAGGTGTTAACTGAATAAAAATAAATTAAAACAAATCTTCAAATGAACACAAATAATGACAAACTAATTGATTAAATTACTGCCTGTAATTTGAGTAACCAACAGGAGAGAAGTTATTTTTCCTTTCTCAAACATAACAATGACAAATACAAAAAAGATTTTTTTCTTTATAGGGAAATACACTTGTAAAGATCATGACAGGTACAATTGAACACAATACAGAATTAATTTTGTTTATTTTGTTTAGTATCTGAAAAAACAATTATCTTTTTATTTAGTTCAGCATAAGTCTAAATTTTGAATAAATAGAAGAGATGCCGGATAGTATGTTTTCCAGCTAAGATAGAGTAACAGATGATAAAATTCTACTTGCCCCAACTATTTAAGTCCAAATGCATGGGGGAGGAAGAGAAGACACCTGTGTGCAGCTGGGCCTAGCCACCTGAGGCCTTCTAGGTATGGTGGTGCTGGCAGAAGACTGGGCCTCTTGGGAGTAGGAGGGAAGGGAAGATGCCTGGTCCATGGTAGGTTTCCACATCCTGGAGAGCATGAGGCCTCCCAAGCCCTNAGAGAAAAGGTGGCGGAACTCAAACCTGGCCACGCCCTCATCAAACCCTAGGACCGCCCCTTTAGAGAACAGGAATGCAAGTAAAATTTGGGAGGGGCTATTTCCGGTGTGGGAGGGGCTATTTCCGGTGCGGCCGGCCCGGAAAAAGGTGCCGGAACGCGGTTCCGCCGCGTTCCGGCTGAAAAAAAGCCCTGCCTTTGGTCACTTAATGACTATAATGAGAAGAGCTGGGATTGTGGTCATTGAGTAAGGCAGTCTCTGAAAATTGGACATAATTGAATGGAATAAGAAAATATATTTTTCATAGTTTAAGAATAAAGTTTTCAGTCTCTGTGAAAATGAAAGAAAATGAAAACTGTTTTGTTTAAGAACGAATATCTGGGGTTTGTGACTCCTTTAGGAATTACCTACATTTTCTGATCCTATAAAAACCAGAAGGCTTTCACACATCCATCATACATCCAGCTTCAACCATGAGGGTGTTCTGGGAGTCTTTAAAAATCTGTTATGGTAGTGTGTGTATGTTAGAGCCCGTGGATGATTGTTTGATATATAGTTTGGATATTTAGGGTTTTTTTTACTCTTTTTCACTGTAACAGTTGAACAGCCTATAAATATAATTTTTTTAAAAATAGAACATATTTCTGTTTCCAATCATTTAGGATGTCTGGCTGTACCACCTTCTAACAACTAGCTTTGAAACCTTATTAAGACGACTGTTCTTTATTTGCATGTTTAATAGATGGGAGTTGGTGGTTTGATATATGGCGGTTGTTAGATTTTTTAACTAACTGTACTCTGGAGAACTATTAAGCTGTCATTTAAAAAAAAGGAATAGAAGGAAAAATAAATTAAGAACAGGATCGGAAACTTCCCCAGAAAATTTACACTGTCATTTCAACATGGAAATTACATCAAATACATGACACAGTATAGAACTAAAACTTGAAATGACAGAACAATATAAATGTGAAATTTTTACTGTTCTTTAATAATCTCTCATTTTTTTTCTGAAAAAAATGCTAAAAAAATCAATCTTCTGCAAATAATCAAATAAATTATTGAAATAACCTTAAAAAATAATTGCTTTTCATATCCCTACCAATGGTAATATCCTTAAATTCTGTAAAATGAACACTTGCTGAATTACTATCAACTAAGAATCACCGAGACTGATCTAAAACATATTTATGCATTAGCTAGTGGACAAATCTTTGAAAAAACAGAAACTGAACTAAGAAAACAGAAAATGTTCTGTTAACATTGTTCTGTTAACATAGTTATGTTTGTTAACATAAAGTGATTGATACCATTGTTATACCTTGCAGATAAGTTTAATCTTTTAAAGTATGAAAATTTGAATCCAAATAGAGAAACATTGAATGTTCTGATAAATTCAGGAACCTTGCTAGCATATGCCAAGGTGAATGACTATAGTCATTGCTACTGCAGCCTTCATGA